CAGTCTTTTATACCGGAAATATTTTTGCTAATACTGAATACTGATAATACTAATACTGATACAGCTACTACTGAAATCCTTTCTTCTAAACTATTGTGAAAGTTTTAATGTTACCCACTACCTGAATACTTTTGTCATTGTGGTCAAACATGCGGCGAGTGTTTGCCGGAAAACATGAACAAAAATACTATATACGATAATTAAAGGAAAGTCCTACTACAAGAGAGTGTTTAAACTGAGATTGTGATGTACTTCAGAGCTTCTTCTGGTCTGTCTACAAAGCGGACACACACACACACACACACACACACAAGGCCTCAATCTTACTTTTTCTCTGTTACATGTACATCTATTTCATTTAAAACACTTAAAGTTACAAGTTGAAACGGTGTGGAAACACTATTCTCTTTGCACCCGAAAGCGAAAGTGATGATTCAGCCCGTTTTATTCAGTCTTTGTGTTTTAGTCGTCCGCCTTTTAGTTTTGTTCCAGGAAAAAGGTAGGACTGTAACTGAGCGTTGTCACGTCTGGCTTTAAGAAATCATGTGGCCAGCAGCTTTTAACATCTCTTAATTCTTTTAATGTTTCACAATTGTAAATGTTTGTTAAGCTTAAATATTAGTCAGTTACAAATGTGTGAAGCTTATATGTATTTTTAAATAATTATGATAAACTTACAGGTCTCCGGTAGTTGCGCGAACACTTGACAGAGTGTTACTCAAACAGTCCTCGGCGTTATCTTTTAATAAAATATTCCACTGAATGTCACTAAGACAAATTCTGTAACAGCGTTTATAAATGAATATAAATGTACAAATCAACAACACAAACACAAATGTTTGTTCTAACGCTAACTCACACACACCAGACTGATCCCTGGTAAGTACGCCTAAAATTGCTAGATTTTCTTGATCTTATCCTAGTGTTTAAAAGCGCTACCCCAGAAAACATGTGTGTGCGTGTGTCTGTGTAAACCCCGTTTGAGACGGAAATTATATATGATGATCAAAAAGAACTATTGCTCCTCATCATGACTGTGCAGACCACTAAGTAATATCGCGCTTTGAGATAGATGTAGTGCATTTAAAGCTTTTGCCAAACTTACCCAGCAAACATGCCCCTTTGGGGGCCCATGTGGGCCCACTGCGGGCAAAAAAATCTTCCCCGCACGGGCAGCCCGCTGTGGGCCCCAATACCGGCGTGAAATGCGGGGCACGTGTGGGCCCCGCACTATGGGGCCCGGGTGGGGCCGGAGTGGGACACCACAAAGTGTGGGCTGAGTTTGGGCTGGCCCACACACCCACACTTTGGAGGGAAATGTGGACATAAACCTGTGTAGGGCCTTTGCGACCTTAACAAATAACAAAACTTTGTACCTGCAGAATGCTGCAATATTACTATTAATGCACATGCAGAATAATTGCACATGTTGAAAGTAGAAGTAATAAATTAAGAGTAATAAATTTCAAATACTTTAATTTATTCACAGCCATGTAAAAAATGCAGAAAATACACTGCTCAAAAGTTTAGGATCGGTAAGATCTGTAAATATTTTTGAAAGAAGTCTCTTATGCTCACCAAAACTCCATTTATTTGATCAGAAATACAGGTAAAGCAGTAACAGTATGAAATATTACAATTTTAAATAACTGTTTTAATATAAAAAAGCAGTTTTACTATGATGTTTAATTTGAATTTTCAGCAGCTATTACTCCAGTCTTCTGTGTCATACAATCCAACAGAAATTATTCAAATATTCTGTTTTGGTGCTCAAGAAACACTTCTTATCAGCAGTCTCGAAAATTTCATTTGTGGAAACAGTGATACATTTTTTCAGATTACTTTTAATAGAGCTTTTAAAAAAGCAGCATTTTGTTTAAAATAGGATTTTTGTCCAACAATGTAAAAGTCTTTACTATCACTTTTTATCAATTTAATGCGCCCTTGCTGAATACAAGTAATTTCTTAAAGAAAAAAAAACTTTCTGACCCCAAACTATTGAACAGTAGGATATATTGAATAGATTTATAAATAGAACAATGACCAATTATAACTACATTAGAACATTAAGTTGATATTATAGATAATTATAGATAAATCAATCCCCTAAGGGGCACCAGTAGAGCTCTGCCTGATCTTTTAATATAAAAAAAACTGTTTTACTATTATGTTTAATTTGAATTTTCAGCAGCCATTACTCCAGTCTTCTGTGTCATACAATCCAACAGAGATTATTCAAATATTCTGTTTTGGTGCTTAAGAAACACTTCTTATCATCAGCAGTCTCGAAAACAGTTGTGCTTCATTTGTGGAAACAGTGATACATTTTTTCAGATTACTTTTAATAGAGCTTTTAAAAAAGCAGCATTTTGTTTAAAATAGGATTTTTGTCCAACAATGTAAAAGTTTTTACTGTCGCTTTTTATCAATTTAATGCGCCCTTGCTGTAATCCCCTAAGGGGCACCAATAGAGCTCTGCCTGATCTCTGATCTTTTGGTTCTTCTGCTCCTTCCACCGTGCCAAGTCTCTTACGTTAAGGAGCCACTTTAATAGAAGTTTCCATTTTAGATGCTGTGGCCTGGCTGCTTTTTGTTCCAGCATCTACCTGAGAAAGAAAACAAACAATAAAAATGAAAATATGTATAAAAAAAAAAACCTAAACAAAACCAAAGTTTCTACCTCAGGAAGTCTCCCAGGGCACTAATATTTTTT